AACTACCACTAATATTTACATCATCGCACTGGCTATCAGCGATCTTTTGAGCGCAATTTTTATCATGCCGTTTGCAGCAGGAGTGCTCATCTCAGGGAGATGGCCCTTTGGTAAAGTGTTTTGCCAGATAAACGCCTTTTTCAGCCTATTTGTTGTGTACGTTTCGCCTGTGACGATGGGTTTGACAGCGATTAACAGATACATGAAAATATGCAAGTTAGATGTAGAGTACAAAAGGTTCTTCTCCCCAAGAAAATCCTTCCTCGTGCTAGCCTTTGCGTGGGGCTTAATTGCCTGTTACCTCTTGGTTCTTCACTTGGCTAGTCTACAAGGCTTTCGCTTTGTGCCTGGATATGCCTCTTGCTTGAACCAAAATCTGAGTACATCTAGCAAAATAGTTCAATTTTTTATTGTTGTTTCGTTGTTTTTCCTTTTTCCCCTGGCAGTGACGATTTTCAGTTACAGAAAAGTTTCTAGAAAGATCCAGGAACACAACATCAGTTTAGCGATGACCCATCAAAGTCAACGACGGGAAGTCGACGTCAGCGCACATGAAATCCGAATGAGCAAGTCATTATTCGTCGTAGTATTCGCGTTCATGTTATGCTGGGTTCCCACTTGGGTCATCACCATCTTGACACGCTTTGTGGGAGAAATACCACGCAATGTTCAGTTGTTGTGCCCTTTTTTTTTAAATTTGTCCAACACCATTAATCCTTTCATTTACGCTGGTATGAATCCGTTGTTTAGGAGAGAGTTTAAAAGTCTCCTGCGCTGTGACTTTTTCAACAAAATTCGTAGTGGATCGGGATTGAACGGTGTGGGAAACCAAAAGGGATCGAGTCAAAGAGCTATCCCCCTTACTCAAAGTACCCCAAAGCAACCCACTATAAAAATTACCAGACGCCAGGTGAGCTCTGGACGCGATCATGAACAGTAAAGTACGTATTCATTATCAGAGGAATCCAATCGTAGTGAACGGAGCATCATGTGAGGTTTAGGTGTCAGGAGCAAACATACTTAAATAGCTACACAGATTCAGTATAAAAAGTGGTGAGAGAGAGAGGGAGAGAGAGAGAGAGAGAGANGCGTAAAAAGTATCTGTCCTAGTGCCGAATATCACCCGAAAGACAGATTTATACGCCAACCGAAACAGCCAAACGTTTTAAAATTTCTTCCCGTTCTTATCTCTTAACTGCTAGGAAAGATGAAGTTCAAAATTCAGCCGCGAGTTCCAGACCTTCGAATAAAGCAATAATATTTCACTGCTGACTCTTGCGCCATTATCTCCTCTTCAACACTTTAAACTAGAATGGCCATGGCTGACTATCTACAAAGAAAGAACAATTTTCAAGAGAGCGTCGGAGTTATTGCACAAGTTTTGCTTCATTGCATTCTGATTGGTTTGAAAAGCTTTCGCCACTGTCTCAACCAATCAGGCCCCGGTTGTTCGAAGGATGGATAACGCTAGGCACTGGATAAATCTCAATCAAGTGGATATCGCAGTACGTTTTGTTAACACTTATCCGCTGGATAGCGATTTATCCGTTGGAAAGAGTTATCCGTCGTTTGAACAACTGGAGCCAGATATAAAAAAAAAACAATCAAGACTTGATAGCGTTTCTCTTCTCCTCATAAACTTTTCTTCTCCTCACTTTTAGTGACCAGTGGCTCCTTGCAATGTACTCTTTTCGTCAGCTTTTCCGTTGTAAAGACTGTAGCTTTGGGCCGGTTAAAATGCGCTCTATCTAAAACTACAATAACTGTTACTAACCAACGTGGGTACATAACTAACAAAAATTTACTCCAACGCTTAACAGGAAGTCAAGTAAGGTAAATATCAATTTTACCGGTCGATCCTCAATAACTGGGGGGGGGGGGGGGTTATCGTTCTTTGATGAAATGTCCATTATTAACTGTACTGCATAAAGTTTACTCCCAACCTCAAAGCAAATGTTGACTACAAAGCTAACAAAAATATATCGCTGGGTCTAAACAACTTACTGCCAAAACAGCAATTACATTCGAGCTCGGACGATACCGATTTTTCCTCCATAGCTTTAATCCACTAAAGAAAGAAAAACTACATTCGTAAAAAGGTAAATTTTTGGCTCGTTAGTGTGTTAAGCTAGTTTGCAGTGTGTATCGAAACAATCGCCATTTAGAAACGGGGGCTTTTAACCTGAGCACCTTACAGCGCTTTCTAGAGGATAAAGCGTCAATTTCCCAAGGCAGACTACTTGCAATCTCTTAATTTACCAATATTGGCATGGTAGCAAAAGACACTGTGTATGCCAAATATCTAAAGATTTTTCCGTGAGACGAGGTACGCACTCTCTTGCACACAATTAATTGCACAGGACTTGAAGAAACTCCATGGCCCTCGTTTACGAAATTGTCCCCTTAAACGGAACGTTTATGCAGTGGTAGAGCTAGACCAACGTTTATGAGAAAATACAGAAAAGAAATTTTCTAGTATAATAATATGATAGTGACAAAAATAGTAATGATAATAATAAAAACTGCCTTATCAGTGTTATTCAAGTTACGGGAAAAAAGATTATCACTTTCCAAAAAGATCAAAAGCTTTATAGCGTCTGAGAACACTTGATATCTCTGGCATTGTTTTTGAGAGGAATGTTTGCAGGTGAAACTCTGGTAAATGCATAAATCATTGTTGAATAGGTAGTTTGTTGTGACATGAGAATTACTATCGTCAGCAGACAAATCTTATTGGTTAAGGCCCTTCACGTCAGCGACGCGGTAATCATGTGAAGTTCTCATGGTAATCAGGCCGAGGTCACCTGTTAATCATGCATAAGCGCTACTCACACAATTTTTCTCACTACTTCCTGCTGTAGAACTGTAGTTTCAATTTTTGGGAAACAAACCTTAAGTCGCCTTACTAAAGTCGCCTTGAGTTGCATACAACCCATGATATTCTCCTGGCTATTTATTCACTAGCTCTGATTGCATAATTTAACAACAACTGTTGTGGTAATTCTTTCTAAACATTTTAAAGGAAAACTCATTACCTGGCTATTTATTCACCTTAAACCTTAAAAATATTTACAGAATCACTTGCCATAAACACAATGGTCATTTTGGTTCCTTGTGTATGTCATAAGACACCATAGTCTAAAACATCCAGATTTCAGACCAATTAGCTCAAAATAATGAGACAAAATTACCAAAACAGTTACTGTTAAATTATGCAGTCAGAGCTGGTGAATAAATAGCCAGGTAATGAATTTTCCTTTAAAATGTTTAGAAAGAATTACCACAACAGTTATTGTTAAATTATGCAATCAGAGCTAGTGAATGAATAGCCAGGAGAATATTATGGGTTGTATGCAACTCAAGGCGACTTTAGTAAGGCGACTTAAGGCAGTTTATGGTCCCAGAGTTGGCCACGTGAATACATTAGACGATCCATACTTGTTGTAGGACTCGTCAATTCATTGGACGATCGGTAAGGGTCGTAGGGAACGTTAAACCGTCCTGTTCAAAGCTATAATGAGATTCGCAGATCGCCAACACAACCTTACTACACGGAAACATATTAGACGATCCGTACGGGTCGTACGACTCGTGAATATATTAGACGATCCGTACGTATCGTACGACTTGTAAGTGCATTAGACGATCCGTTACGAGCCATGGTATAGGGAGTCTAATAATTTTTTTTTTTTCTAAGAATGCCTTTATTGACATCCGGCCAATTTTCGAAGGCACACCCTTAGCATTTCGCGAAGGCCTGAGTATGGCTTTCGACATCGGTCACCTAAAGGAATAGATTGTGCTGGTGAAAAAGATTAGTTGAATGGGATATCCATTGAAAACGCAACTTGAGTACATTAGACGCTCTGCACGGATCTTACGACTTGTGAATACATTGGACGATCCGTTCGATCCGTCCGTAAACCTTGATCTCATCAATCAAATTCTTGAAAGTTTAAAATGGAAGAGATTCTGAGAATGATTAATAACAATGAAGGGAATGGCTATCATTAAGAGATAGGGTGTGATATATGTAGCGTTAGAACGTAATTATGAGTTTTAGCGTTGAAAGTCAAATTTTCTTTAATGGGAATTTCATGTGCCATTATTATCCGTTGATGTCTTCTGAGTCTGCGTGATTCAGTAGAAAAAGTTAAAGAGTAGATTTATCGCCGTTACACAAAAGAATCCTCGGAAACGTTTCAAACTTTCTTAATTGGTGCTTTCCGTTTTTGCAACAATTCCTTTTTTCATTGTAATTACACTAATCGCGCACTTACTTTCATTAGACCGTGAAAGCCCTTTTTCCAAGTTGTACCGTCACTACAATGAGTCATAATCTCTCCCAGCTGTTCGAATTAGTCAGGGCATTGTTTGCATCAAGGCTTTCTTTTCTTCTTTACCAATCCATTCATGCAAGTTGTCTTTTGTTTTGAGAAAGCTAGCGCACGAAAAGTTCTATCAGCCCCATCGACTTATGACTGACATTTTTGAACAGTTTTTGGGTGATCGAAGCTGCCCTACGTTGTTTTCTTCACAAGACTGTACGTAACTGGCAGAGGGGGAAAATACGCTTTAAAAAATTTACTCGTCAAAGGAGCGTCGGCAACTTACTTAGCACTTGCAAACAAATGGCAGATCTTCAATCACGAAAAGAAGCTTTCGTCACCGTGGAGTCCGGCTTTCTGATTGCTCTGAATATTCTGTCTCTGGGAGGCAACATCATGGTGTGCACAGCCGTGTACAGGAATACAAGACTCCGCACTACTCCTAGTAATTACATCCTCGCATTGGCTATCAGCGATCTTTTGAGCGCCATTTTCGCCATGCCGTTTGCAGGGGGAGTGCTCATTTCAGGAAGATGGCCCTTTGGTAAAGTATTTTTCCAGATAAACGCCTTTTTCAGCCTATTTGTTGTGTACGTTT